TCCAAAGGGCAGCTTCAAACAGTTGCTGATCAGGGAAGGGAGGGGATGCAGAGACCAGGGAGGAGCGGTCAGGAAATAGCGCAGCCTGGGGGCAGGTCCTGGTTCCACCTCAAGGAATACACATCGCAATACCTGTCTGAGCTCTCCCGCAGAACCCAGGTGGAGGATGGTAACTTCAGGCTGAGCAGAAGATTCCTGGAGCTCCGCCCTCTTACCTCACCACCAATCAATCAGAAGGAAGTCCCACACCCTGAAGCGCTCACCCCAAATTTTGCCTATTACAGACTTTTCCCTAGAAACCACTGGGGAGTTCGGGTCTTTTGAGCACAAGCCGCCGGTTCTCCTTGCTTGGCCCTGCAGTAAACCTTTCTCTGCTCCATACTCCGACATTTTGGTTTTTTGGGCCTCACGGTGCATCAGGCACATGAAGTTTCATTTGATAACACAGGAAATCTTTAGGGCAGTAACTTTTCCTTATGATGCTATAATGGTGGATACATGTCCATATGTCTGAACCCACAGAATGTACAGTAAGTCCCTTACATACAAACGAGTTCCCTTCCAAGAGCACGTTCGTAAGTCCAGTTTGTTCCTAAGTCCAACAAAGTTAGCCTAGGTACCCAACTAACACAATCAGCTATATATACCGCTGCGTTTACGCTTGCTTCCGGACATCCTGGGCTTGAAATGAAGATACTATACTACTGTACTCTAGACAGTACTGTACAGTAAGGTACACAAAAGCACAGTGGCTGTCCACTTGTAGAGGATGCACACACGTGACAGTGTACGCCAGACAGGGGAACTAGCTTACGTGATTGGACATGCGAACACACGTTTGCAACTTGAAGGCTCGTATGTAGGGGGCTTACTACACAACACTCAGAGTGAACTGTGATATTAACTACGGTCCTCGGGTGATGCTGATGTGTCACTGCAGTTGTAACAAATGGACCATCCGGTGAGGGATGTTGACGGTGGGGGCGCTGTGCATGTGTTTGGGGCTGGGGGGAACACAGGAAAGCTCTATACCTCTCCTGTTTTGCTGTGAACCTAAAACTGCTCTAAATAATAAGATCTGTTTTAAAAAGAGAGGGACTTCCCTGGTGGCGCAGTGGATAAGACTCCGCACTCCCCATGCAGGGGGCCTGGGTTCGATCCCTGGTCAGGGAATTAGATCCCACATGCATGCCACAGCTAAGAGTTTGTATGCCACAACTAAGGAGATGGCAAGCTGCAACTAAGGACCCCTGGAGCTGCAACTAAGGAGCCCGCCTGCCACAACTAAGACCCGGTACAACCAAATAAATAAATAAAATAAAAAGAGAAAATGTAGGAATTAAAAAGGAGCTGTTTCATTAAAAAAAATATTTATCAACTAAAAAAATAAAAGAATTGAAACCAGCAAAAGGCAGAGTTGCCCTAAGGGTACATGCACGAGGGGGCTGTGTCTGAGACCCAAGGTCAGGAGTGAAGGAGACAAAGTCAGACCCTACTCAGTCCCCTGACCCCCAGTGGGGAGTTTGCAGTACACCACACTAGGTCCAGTGCAGGCCCAGGCTTTCCACAGACTACAGCCAAACTCACTCGAGCTCAGAGGTCACCAAACCCACAAGGCAACGAAGGGGAACAGGTTCTTTCACCCCAAAATATGCCACCTTGGCACAAGGATTGTTTGGAGATAAATAAACGCAATCAAAACCCGGCAGATTCAGGAAAGGCTCTTTCCTTCCCCCTCAACTGCCTAAATTTACATTGGAAAGGGGGCCTGGGTCAGAAGAGACAGTTTTACCTGAGAAACCCCTGCACAGTAGGGCAGCCTTTGTTATCCCAAGGTCTCCTCTCCTTCCTGGGAAAGGCCTTCCCTCCTCTGTATCCTGACGTCCCGCCCAGGCAAGGTTTATAGAAGCCTCAGCTGCCCCGCTAAGCCTTGTGAGTCCTAATGGCTTTAGGGGGCTCCCCTTTGTACATAATTACATCTGGTTTTCTCCTGTTAATCTGCCTTATATCAATTTAATTTTCAGACCAGCCAAAGAACCTAGAAGGGAAGAAGGGGACACTTTCCCACCCCTACCGTGATAAACCGCCGCAAACTTCGTTTTTCTTCTTAGCACCTACTACTACTGTGATATCGTGACTTACAATAAGAAAGATGTAGCTGGTCTTCACAGAGCTGGCACAGAACTCCTAAAAACTCTTGGAATTTCCTGTGAAGAGAGCAACAAATGTGTCTTTTGTTATGTTAATGAGGTGACTTTTGAAAGCACCTCAGGATCGGGGCTGCTGCCGGCGGCACCATCCCAGTAATTACAGCCTTGCCCCCGAGCTGGGGGTGGAGAGTAAGTTCAGTCACCAGCGGGCAATGGTTTAATGGGTTTAACCAACAGTGCCTGAATGATGAAGCCTCCATAAAACCCAAAGGCGGGGTTCAGAGAGCCTCCAGGTTGAAGAGGTGGAGATTCGGGGGAGGGCACCCAGAGGGCAGGAACACTCCCCGCCCCTCCACGTGTCCCCTGTGCCTCTCTTCATCTGGCTGTTGATTTGTAGCCCTAACACCGTAGGTAATAAACCAGAAATCTAGTGAGTAGCTAGTCTCCCGGACCCGTGAGCCGCTCTAGCCACGGTTAGCAAAGCCAAGGAAGGGGCTGTGGGAACCTCTGATCCACAGGGCGGGAGCACAGGTGACAACTGGGCTTAATTGGCGTCTGGATTGAGGGGCTCGCGGGACCGAGTCCCTCACCTGCGGAGCCTGATGGCATCTCAGAACTGAGCTGAGTCGTAGGACGGGCAACTGGGGTCGGAGAACTGCTTGGTCCGGGAAAACCCACACGTCAGGAGTGGAAACCGGAATCTCAACTATTAAACACGTGGGTCGAGCAATTCTTGTGTAAAGGGCCACATAGGGATATTTCAGGCTTTGTGGCCACATGAGGTCTCTGTTACATACTTTTCTTCTTTTTTATTTTATAATCCTTAAAAGTGTTAAATTCAATCCTAGCTCACAGGATACACCAAACACACCGCAGTCCGGATTTGGCCAGTTGCCTGGTTTGCCAGAGCTGATGCTGAGACACCAAGCATGCCAGTGACTCCTTTTGGACTGTCCGCCCCCCTCCGCTCCCCTCCCCTCGAGGTTTGGGGTCTTAGTCTATTGTGTTTACCACTTAATCTTCAGCCTCCATGCCCAGCACACAGGAGGTGCTCAGTCAGGGTTTTTGAATGAATGAAAGTGGGAATAAGTCAGGAAAGAAATGTTTTTACCTCAAACTCCCTAATGGTTTCTGCAGTGGAGGCATGGAGGATCCCCCCAGATCTCCCCGAATTCCCTTTACCAGCCCATCCCCCCAGATTGTGAATTCTTCGTTGCCCCCTCCCTCAGGGCACCACCCTGGACCCAGAAGCCTGGGAGTCACACCCAGGCAGGAGTGTGAAAGCAGCTCCCTAGCCTCCAGGGATGAAAGCTCTGCAGAGCACTTTATGCTCCAGGACTCCAATGCAAACTCGCTGAGGCTGGATCTCCTCCCAAAATCTTACCTTTGTCTTCCTTATCCCGACCCCAGTCCCTCACTGGTTTCTCCCAGAAGCACTTTCTTAATAAATCACTGGCCCAGGAATCTTTGTCTCAGGTTCTGATTCTGAGGAACCTGATCTAAGACAACCCCAGGTACTGGAATTATCAGATATATAATATAAAGCAATCATGTATTAAACGCTCAAAGGTTTGAAAAATGGAACCACAAACAATCAGCAAACAATGAGAAACTATTAAAAATGAGCAGGTATATTTGGAAAAGAAGCTAATAGAACTTTTAAAATGGAAATTTAATTACTGAAATAAACTCAGTGGATGGTTTAAATAACAGATTAGACACAGCTAAAACTAGAATCAGTAAACTGGAAGAAAGATCTAAAGAATGTACCCAGAATGTCCTGCAAAGAGAGAGGGAGATGGAAAGTTGAAAGAGACTTTAAAAGATCTGAAGGCTAGAATGAGTTGGTTCGATATACATATAATCAGAATCCCAGAAGGAAAACAGACCCAGCAATCTCACACTTAGGTATGTACCCTGTGGACACTCTTGCACTTAAGCACCCGGAGACATATGAAAGGATAATAATGCAGCATTGTTTACATTAGCCCCCAACTAGAAACAGCTATAACGTTCATCAGGATAAAATATAAATAAATAACAGCAAAGTCACACAGTAGAATATTATATAGCAATGGACACAGATGTACTACAGTTATAAGCAACGACATGGGTGAATCTCACAAAAATATTTTTATAAAGCACAAAAACAAGCAAAACTAAACCATATATTGTTTAGGGAAACAAATATATGATACAACTTCTTTTTAGGCAAGGTAATGGTAGATACAAAATAAAGGAAGATGGAGGTCAGATTCCAAAGGTGGACACAGGGTTTTGATAATACTGCTCTAGACCTCAAGTTCATGAATGTTTGTTTTATTCCAGTCTTCATAAACTAGTATAAGTGACCTGTTCTTTTGTACATATTTAACATGGAAAGTAACACTTGCAGAAGCTCTATAAAACGAACAGTATAGACAAATGCTGGAGATGCCTGTCCTTGGCATGTCAGATAAACCACGGCTGGACTCTGTGTCCTATTATGTCTTTGAGTGGGTTCCTGACCATTCACAGACCTAAGTTTTCTCTGAAGCACAGAGTCCACACAGCTCCAGGGCGTGTGACACAGGACAGCAGTTCCCTGACTCACTCGGGCTGGAAGCTGAGGGTCTACACTCAGTTCCTCCACGCCCCTCACACGTCTTCACCGCCCTAAGTCCTGTCCTCATAATCTGAGCCCCTGCTTTGGTGTGAATCCCATTCTCCATCAGCCTGGCCTTCACCCGCTCCAAGGCTGCGACAGCGAGGGGGTGTGAAATCACAGGACTTACAGCCTTGAGGACACGGAAAACAAGACCACCTGAGGCCACAGGCTGCTGGATTCCTCCGCAGGTGCAGTGGGCTCACCTGATGCTGTCCAGGGCGTATGTTACCTGCCGTTGCTCAATGTCGTACAGTTTCACCTTGAAGCCTGCACTGGCGAACAGCATTGCCCAGCTTCGCCCGATGAGGCCACTGCAGGGAGAGAAATTGAGAGGCCACCCGTTAGCTTGAAAATGGAGCATTTCCATTCCCGGCCCAGGAGGAAAGTTTCAAATTACACGGCATCCCATTCCTAAAATCTTTGATATCTTAAAACTACACATTCTAACAGCGGTATCTACTTAAACTGTTGCTTCCATGCAAGAGCTCCTGAGTCCTCACTCCAGTGCCCGTCCAGACCCCGCGGGGAGCATGGCAGAGACCAAAACTCCAGCAGGGAGGGGGCAGGGAGCCCAGGAGAAAGGCCCCCCTGGGGACCCCCAACTGACCACTGTCAGACAAGTAACTGAATCTGAAGAACAGAGACAGCATTTTCCTTCTCCTCCTCCAATAAATAATTTCTGCTACCACCACCAGCACTTGAGGCAACATAAAAACTGTTCACATCTCGGGACTTCCCTGGTGGTCCAGTGGGTAAGGCTCCGTGCTCCCAATATAGGGGGCCCGGGTTCGATTCCTGGTCAGGGAACTGGATCCCACATGCAGGCCGCAAGAAGTCCGCACGCTGAAACTTAAGATCCCACATGCCACCACTAAGAGCCGGTGCACCCAAATAAGTAAATATATTTTTTAATTTAAAGAAAAGAAATGAATGCATAGCGCCCAAACCTTGGTTTCTAATATCATCTCCAATGAAGAAAGCGGGCTCAGTGTCCCTCCCCTGAAGCACCCTCACTGAATCTGCAGGGATCTACCTGGACCCCCTGACGTCGCCCCGTGGGACTTGGGAGGAAAGGGGAGCCAGTGCAAAGGGGGTGCTCAGCTGTTGGCCTGCTGTGATCAGTGAAGCCCTCTGTCTCTGACCCCGAGTCTGTCTCCCCAGCATTCGGGGAACCGTAGCAAAGCGCATCATTCGTTTCCCAGTAAAGGGAACAGACGGCCCACAGGCTTCACCATGGTGACTGTGTGAGCAGCTCCGGGGAAGGGGGGCCAGGGCAGCAGCCCGGAGACGGGCTCCAAGGAGGACTCTCCCCATTCCGGCCCCCCAGCCCGCCTCCCCCCAACTCAGCTAATCTACAGTTCAGGTTCAGAAACATTCCCAGCCTCAGAGTGGTTGAGGGGAGGCGCATAGCAGGCCTCCTCTTGACCAAAATCCTTCCACGGTCCCAGGCGCTCAGCCCCTAATCCAACCAGGCAGCCCGGAGAGGGGCCACTGTCTAGTCTCAAGGTATCTCCGTGAAGCCACTGGTCCCAAATGCTGAGTGCAAACAACGAAAACCATCTCTATGCAACTTTGGAGCAGGGAGCACCATTACACAGCAGGTTGTACTCCAGATTCTTCTGCACTATGAAATAATGTAAATTTACATGTTATGTACATACAAATTTTCTGTTAAACCCTCAGTGCCCTAGACCCGCACTGTCCAATAAGGTGGACCCCAGCCACACGCAACTATTTAAATTAACAAGAATTAAATTTGAAAATTCAGTCCATCCACAGTAGAGACCTGTTTCAAAGTACTCGATGGCACATGTGATCATGGCCACCACCTTGGACAGCAGGGGTGAAGAGAAAATTTCCATCTTTGCAGAGCTGCTCTAGAGCATAGGAGGAAAAAAGAAACCCTGCAGGGCCCAAGCCAGAGTCTGAACGAGATAGTCCTGCATGAAGACATCCTCGTCCTCACACACACACACACACACACACACACACACACACACTCTCTCTCTCTCTCTCTCTCTCTCTCTCTCTCTCTCTCTCTCTCTCCCCTCTCTCTCTCTCCAAGCTGCAAGGCGCAGGTAAAGGCCAGTACCATTCATGCTGGTCACCCCAGTTGACCCACCAACAACTGGCTGGTCTGAAGTGGGATGCACTGCAAGTGTAAAAACATACTGGATTTTGAAGACTGCCCCAAAAAAGGACGTAAACTATTTCATCAATAATCTTTATATCAATTATTCATTGAAACAATAACACTTTGGAAATATTACGTTAAATAAAATATATTACAATTAATTTCACCTGTTTCTTTTTACTTTCTTAATGTAACTACTAGAAAATTTAATTATGCACGTGGCTTGCGTTTGTGGCTTGCATTCTTGGTCTAAGGGGCAGCAGCAACTTAAACGATGTCTAGAACTATAATTCAATCATTTATCCTTGTATTCAGTTTGGCATTGGGTCACCTAGTTCATCCCCAACTATGCTCCCAGGCTGGGCTCACACAGAAGTCAGTCACATGTCAATCTCCCAGAGGCTGTGGTTCCTTGTGGTCGACAAATGCACTGGGAGACAGACCTCATGCTACTGCTTCCAACCTTCCCATCAAAGATGTTTCACAACACTCTAGGCCTCCATGATGCTCCTGTTTGAATACTGGCTGCCAGGTAAACTAACTGAGCTTCATAACTTTGTTTATGGCTAAAAGAATCAACATAAGACAAATGTCCAAAAGGAAATAATATTTGTAATAGATAAATACACAAAAAGTTCTACAAACTCAAAAGTAAAAGATGAACATGCCAAACAAAAGGGGGGAACCTGAATAAAGTACGTGAACAAACTAACTGGGAAACATACTTTACTGCCTTAGTTCAACGACAGCAGATAAAATCCCGACCAGGTGGCAGAGGCTGATCACACCCAGTGCTGGTGAGGAGGTGGGGACCCCCCTCCCCAGCTCCCAGGGCTTTTACTTCCAGAGTTTATCTTAGGTTAATATAAGCAATGCACAAAAATAGTTACTCAAGGTAGAATTTGTACTGGCAAAAAAGTAAAAACTAACCTTCTAATATTCAGAATTGGTTAAATAAATCATATACCGAAAAGGCAAATAGAGCAAATTTTTTTAACCATTGTTGAATACAGAGGTGGGTATGTGGGTATTCTTTTTTCTATATTTCAACTCTTCTGTGTTTGAGAATTTTCATAATAAAAAGCTGGGGAGAGGGCTTCCCTGGTGGCGCAGTGGTTGAGAGTCCGTCCGCCTGCCGATGCAGGGGACACGGGTTCGTGTCCCGGTCCGGGAAGATCCCACATGCTGCGGAGCGGCTGGGCCCGTGAGCCATGGCCGCTGCGCCTGCGCGTCTGGAGCCTGTGCTCCGCAACGGGAGAGGCCCGCGTACCGCAAAAAAAAATAATAATAAAATAAATAAATAAAAAATTTAAAAAATAAAATAAAATTTCAAAAAGTTGGGGAGAGATGAGTTGTATTCCATACAATAGGCATTAAAGGCAAAGTCAGTTTACTTTTATTGTCGTGGGTTTCAAGGTCTGTATGGCCTATATTCCCCTAGAGGAGGGGTCGAGAGCAGAAGGCCCACTCCTGGGGGACCCCTCCCCCAGCTGTCAGTCACCGATGACACCACGAAGCGGACACCAGCACCCTGTGCTTGAAGAGGACTGAGCCCCCATCTCCTTAAAGCTGGGCCTAAACTATGGAAACTGAACGTGAGCATCAGGTACTTACTGGGGCTGAAAGATGATAATGCTGGGGACACAGCGGTGGGGGTGGGCAGGCGGGGGCAGGAGGGCGGGCACAGGTGCAGCAGGGAGTCACAGCCAGACCCTAGAGGGAGGTGCAGCATCTGGCTCACCGCTTTCCCACGGCTTTCTGGTCCCCAGCACTACCTTACTTGGGGCCCAAATACAATTAGCTCCCTGGCCTTAGAGCCAGTGACATCTTGCTAACTTTTCCTGAACCCCTACAAGCCTGGGGAATAGAACGGGTCCTTACCGTTATGACTAATGCCTGAAAGCAGGGGTCCCCGACCCCCGGGCCGCTGACCAGTACTGGTCCTCGGCCTCTTAGGAACCAGGCCACACAGCAGGACGTGTGTGGGGGGTGAGCGAGGGACGCTTCATCTGCCGTCCCCCATCGCTCCCGTTACCGCCTGAACCATTTCCCCCCGCGCCCCTGGTTCGTGGAAAAACTGTCTTCCACGAAACCGGTCCCTGGTGCCAAAAAGGTTGGGGACCGCGCCTTAAAGCTTCTAAATTCATAGATCTGAATTGGTATTTCAAAGGCTGCTTATTCAAAGGTAACTTATTCTGTTACACGGCAGCAAAGCAGCCAGGGAGAAAAGTGAAGTAACAAAATTGGTTCAATTCTAATTTTATCATTAATGGCACTTAGCTTTGAATAAGTCCACTCTAGACACTTTTTAAAGTACTTTTCCATTCTACAGTTACTTATTTACTGGGCAAAAGTTGAAGTAAAACCGTCTTGATCTCAGTTGGCTATGGAATATTTGCCAATAAGAGCTATTAAATATTTCTAGGAAAAGCATGTTTAGTGTTGAGCTGACGACAGGAGCGTCCTAGGGTTTGCTCTGTGCGTCTGTGTATATGTCTGTGTGTCTTGTGCTTTAATGCAGAAGTAGCAGGAAAAAATGTATGCCTCACAAAATTTCTTATAAAGAATGTACGTAGTCACCTCAAAGTAAAATTCTGGAATAAAATAAATGAAAACAAGTTCAGGGGATGCATAGCCTGATATAGGACAACATCCTAGCAAGCCTTCCCGCTACACATCTCTGTTACAATAGCTCAAACATCTATCTACTAGGACCAGGCATGAGGGACATACAATTGGTGATGACAGTTTCTACCCTAAGGAGAGGGTCCCAGAAGCAGAACTTTTCCTGGAGGACTTGGTCCCTGAGCTCAGTCCTAGAGGAGTGTGCCCAGAAAAAGGGGACAGCAAGAGGGCACATGGGGCCCCAGTGAGACAGGCTGGGACCTGGGACCCGGGACCCTTTGCCGCAGTGCTTACACCTGCGTACACACCTCTCCTCGAGCTACAGATACAAAGACACTATAGGGACCTAAAAATAACTGCGCGCATGAGCAGTGGGGACAAATTATTAACAAGATACAAAAAGACCAGAGACCCAATGGCCTCATCTGAGGTGCTAGGGGCAAAAGCAAGGTCCTGTGCATGATCACTGCACACAGCACCACCAGGGGGGTGGGCAGACCACGTGGGCCGCCCCTCTGGCGGACCCGTGGATCTGCCCACACCCTCACCCTATGTAAGGAAAAAGGTCACCACCACCCCACACCCCCTCAGCACGAGTCCCAGTAAAGCCTTGCCTGAGTTTCTCCTCTGGCACCTTATCAATTTCTGCTGATTAAAGAGTCCAAGGACCTTGGCTGGTCACACCAGGAACACACGACCACGACCACGCTGGCCTTCCTAGACAGATCCTACCTTCAAAGCTCAAGGCCTAAAACCTCAGTGAACACAATGCAGTGTACGTCGGAGCTCTGAAGTCATATTTCGGCTCAGAAACACCGTGGTCTCTAAGATCTGGCAACACCGCTAGGATGGCTTCGGGGAGACCCATCTCTACCGCCATTTTGTAAAGCTGCCGTTTCCAGATTTTCCCCCTTTAATGTTCGCACAGCCCTGGACCCAAGGGGGTTTTCTCTCCTTTCTTAATTCTTCAAAAACACACTCTTACTCTCTCAGGCCCACTGCTTTGAAGGGGCTCACCCTGCATGCTCTCAGGAAAGCTAAGTGCCCTTTACGAAAAGATCAATGGAAAAGAACTAAATAGGGGTTTTATTCCTAGCGTGCACTTTTAAGAGGGAGTCTGGTAATTATTAAGATAAAATGGAAAAACAATGGCCCAGTATGTTCCCTAAACTTTGAAATATGTATATTTTGGTCTGTTGCAATCCAAGAATGAAAGTGAACCAGGTTTTAGCCAATTAATTCACACTCCACAGGCCCATCTTTTGAATGGATGCCCCTTGAATGACCTATGGGGTTGAGAGAGAGAGAAAGAGAGAGAGAGAGAGACAAGGGGTACAGGAGGGTAGATGGGAGAGAGAAAGGGACCAGAGGGGAGAGGAGGGGACAGGAAGGAGGGAGGAAGAAGGGAAGGAAAGCAGGGCTACTGCAGAAGCAGAGATGACTGCTTTCGGAGGTGCTAAAGGTGTGGGGGAGGGACTTCCCTGGTGGCGCAGTGGTTAGGAATCTGCCTGCCAATGGAGGGGACACGGGTTCGAGCCCTGGCCCGGGATGATCCCACATGCCACAGAGCAATGAAGCTCGTGCGCCACAACTACTGGGCCTGCGCTCTAGAGCCCGTGTGCCATAACTACTGAGCCCGTGTACCTAGAGCCCGAGCTCTGCAGCAAGAGAAGCCACCGCAGTGAGAAGACCGCGCACCGCAACGAAGAGTAGCCCCCGCTTGCCGCAACTGGAGAAAGCCTGCGCGCAGCAACAAAGACCCAACGCAGCCAAGAAAAAAAAAATGCGGGGGAGACAGGACCGGCTCCTAATTCATGTGGTGAATGAAGTTCGCCAGCCCTTGTCTAATTCTTTTGTCAGCCTCCCTCAAGGAATCAGAAGTAAACTGACTCCCCTTCGTATCTCCTTCCCGCAAGATCCAGAGCCGGAGAAGGGCGCAGTTGACCCCAGAACGACAGGGTCTGGACACCGCGGAGCCACTTACATGCAGGCTTTCTTACATGGTAAATCCTATGGGAAGCAGGATCTGGGGCTGGGTACAGCCCAAGATGAGCCGACTGTCAATTAAACTGACTTTTCTGGTGGGAATGGACGGTGGGCGCCGCTGACCCGCTAGTGGTCCAAGGGTCACCTGTACAGTCAACTCCAGACTTCGCTCAACATTGTTGGGTGCCGGCAGGGCACCAGTCCCAGGCCGTGGTTGATACACACTTGACCCTGGACAAAAGGTGCAAGGCAAGCATAGTCACCACGCCCGGGACAAAGTACACTTTTTTCTATATTTTATATCCCTTCAGGAGGCAGCCACATGCCCACGTGCCTGGAAAGGACAGAGGCACAGGTAACTCCACTTCTCCATGCAAAGGAATCTGACACAGCGTCCTGTCTCCATCCTCAGAGGGCTCTAAGGAAACACCCGGACAGGGACTTGTTCTCAGGACAGGGCTGTGACGGGGGTCAGGCAGGCCAGCACCTCGGCGTTGTAACCGGACACTGAGCCACCCAGTAGGTGCGCCTAACGACCAACTGCAACTACCGACAAGCGGGTAGACTGCTATGTTAGCTTACCAACGGAAAGGTGCACACAGACGCCTGTTTAAAAAAAATGAGAACAGCAGTTGTTTTACAAGAGGGATGGAACACAAAACAGAAAACCGTGGATGGAACTTAAGCTGCTAACCTGACACACAACTCCCGGCGAACCCGCATGCCCTCGGGATAGGGGGCCCTCGCCACGCAGGAGGCGCGGATTCGGATCGCGCGGGCCGCGCCCCCCGCCCCCAAGCGGGTTCGCCGGGTGACAGCCTCGGGCCGGAGGCTGACCCAGACCCGGGCCCCTCCGCCCCTCCGAGCGCCCATCCCTGGGGCTAGAACGTGAGAGAACACCCTTGTGCGGACCCGCGGCCCGACACCTCTGCGTCCACTCGCAGCGCCAAGCGTCACTGTCCCCGCTGGGGCCGCATCACCGAACTCCGCCCGCACCCGCACCGCTCCGCAGCCGGGCCGCGGCGCGGGCGAAACGGAGCCGCGCCCCGTAGTGCGCCCCCGCCCGCGCCCGGGCCGGCCGGGTCCCGGGAAGGCGCCGGGGCCACCGCAGCCGCGCCGCCAGCACCCCGGGCGACAGCGCCCGCGCCCCGCCGCCACCCTCCCGGCCGTGCGGGCTCGAGCCCTACCTGCCGACTACTGCCACCCCGCCGGGCGCCGAGGACGCTGGGGACGCCATAGCCCGCGCGGTGCCCAAGCCCACAGCTGCAGCGCGCGCCACCCGGACACTGGCTCCGCCCGCCCCAGAGCCGCGACAGGGCCCGGGAGCCTGGCCCGTGGGTGGGGCGCGGGCGGAGCCTCCACCTCTCCACGCCCCGCGGGCGCGCAGGGCTCGGGGCCCGGCAGGCGGGGCGCTTAGCACAGCGTCGGGTGAGGGGGGCCGTCTGGCCCATCGCGGGCGCGCGGAGCATCCACCTCCCCTCGCCCCGGGGCGCGCACGGGAGGAGCTGCCGGGAGGACCACGTGGACTGGACGCCCGGTGGCAGAGCAGCCACTTCGGACTCCAGTAACTCACTTTGTTTTGGCCATTTCCCAACGGCGCCCCTAAAGTCGGTGCACGGGGAGAGGACACCTCCAGACCAGCACAAGGCGTGACCGCTAAAGGACCCCGCAAAATTATCACTAGAATCCCCTTCCCGTGTGAAGACATTAGCACCACTTCCGTCCACACCAGCTCAAGGCCTTAAGCTGAGGACGGTTAGTGCTGAGTTCACACTGGTAGTTCGTTTCTGGGAAGACCCCGCCTTTCTCCGCAGATGAGGCCGAGGCCCAGGAGCCTTGGGACAGCAGGCAGAAAAGCTGGGGGGAGGGGGGAGGGTCAAACTGGAAGGCTGTGAAGCCCGCCGCAGCCAGGCTGTGTTTCCTCCTACCGAAGGCCTAGATGGTTTCTGCTCCAGGAGAAGGAAACGTCACCGCGCCACCCCTGGCTCTTTTTGGAAACAGACCGGAGGAAAGGGCATCACATGTCCCGTGACAACACTGTCCACACAGCACAAACGGGGGCACACCAGTCATCCAGGTCAAGACGATTAGGCAGCTGTCGAGCGGAAACGCGTGACACTGAGACTCGGGTGACGCACGCAGCCCTTCCTCTGTCTTCCCCGGTCAGGAGCGAAAAGAGGAATGTCAGAGCCAGAGCAATTTCACAAGTTACCGATAAACATTTGAAAAGGCACTCAACTCACTTTAGAGAAGAGAATGAAAAGTGACACAACAAAGATGTCGTCTTTCGCCCATCAGACTGGCTGAAATTATGAAGACTGATAACGTTCCCAAGTCGGCAATGAAGTCTTTCAGAGGCACACCTCTTTCCTGCACAAATGCTAGTGGTACGTAGTTGGGAGAGCGTCAGGTGCACCTGGTGCTGAGGGTACCAGACTGCAAGGCTTCCCCAGCCCAGATCCGAGAGGTTTCCGTAGCCACACAGGCAGCAAGCCGGTCAAGGTGCGTGCAGAGTGCGCACCCTGTAGGGCGCGCTCCCGGGGTGGCAGCAGCTGGGCTGTTCGCTGCTCTGCAGTGCTAGTTAGCTCTTTGCTAAGAAGGTGCTGGTCCCTAGACTTGTGGCAGTTACGGGAGTCGTGAAAAAAGGCAAAAATCGAAAACAGGGCTCAGCCTTTGTTTTTCAACGAGCCGTTAAAGGGGCAGCGCACGGCCCAGGCAGCAAGGGCAGCCCTGGGGACTACACTCGACATGTCAACATCAGATGCCAGAGCTCTGAACGGTGTCTGTGAGCTTCTGTGCTTCATCTCCATTATCTTGTGCCTCCCTGAGCAAGGCGTGTCCTAAGGTAACTGCTCCTTTGATTTACCCATTTCGGCTTATGAAAAAACTCATAGGAACTCTCAACTTCCAGATAGCAGGAAACTCAGACCTGTGATTCAAGTTACATGTGACTCGAGGAAAGACTAATCTACTCTGTAAGGATAGGAGATGAGTGGCTGTCTGGGCCTGGGAGTGCAGGGCATGATGCCTCAGGAGGGGCACAAGGGAAATTTTGCATCGATAGAAGTATTCTGTATCTTGATTATGGTGATTGTTACACAGGTGTATAATTTTCAAAACTCATTGAAATATACACTTAAATGAGTGTATGATATTATATGTAAGTTATACATATGTACCTCAATAAAGTTGATTTTGGGGGGAGTAGGATTTTGGATGATTTATATCCTTTGGGAATAAATGTTTGGTTCACCGCACCCCTCTCCCACCTAGGGGAAGAAACACCACACAAAACCTTGATCAGCTGAGATGCTGGATGAGGGTACACTTGCAACACGTAGTTGGAAAAAGAAGTCATAAATATTATGTTCTGACCAGTAGCAGAGGTGGTACGTGTTGCAGCCATTCATTTCTTCTTATCTTTATCTGTGTGTGTGTGTGTGTGTGTATGTGTGTTACCTAATTTCTTTTGCCTCCCTCCTCCTTTTCCCTTATTTTATGTAAGGGCTGTTGGTAGTGTGTAACGTTATAATTTAGTCATTAGGTCACAAAATCCTCAGGTGAGACTTAAACAAATTAGACATGGACACCAAGAGTGTTGCCCAGAGATGGGTGCCATGACTCTTAGCTCTTTCTTCCCTTTGGGGCGAGAGGGTTAGGGCCTCTCTGTGGGAGAAAGAACTGCATCTTCTTAGGAGAAAGCATGGCCTTCACTGTTGTGACATAAAAGGTCAACCATGTTTAGAAGCGTGTTTAGACTGTGCCAGTTATTATTAAACTGCTGTCTCTCTGCTCCACATTCACCCTTCTACACATGTTCTGTTGTGTGACCCTGACGCTGGCTTCCTGTGACGGTCCACCAGCGGGGGGCTGGAGACAAAACACAGGGCAGGTCAGCTTGCTGATCCTCCTAGTGTCGCCCTAACAATCGCCCGGGTGACCTCCGCTGGTTCCTCCTCCAGCTTTGTGACCCCCCAGGCACAGCCTCTCACACCCCTCAGAGGCTCCACTCCCCCCCAGGCCCCTCCTCTGCTAGTCCCCAAATCTTCCTGCATCCCTGAGTCCCAGGAGTAGCGGCCCTCCTGACGTTCTGTGCTTTTCAGTCCAAGAATGACAGAACAAATTCTCCATATTAAATTCTCTGTTGAGTGAGATAGATAGATAGATAGATAGATAGATAGATAGATAGATACTCTGCTGAAATATTTGGGTGGTTTCTGTGTTTCAGACTGGAATTTTGACTTGTATAAATGTTGACAGCTGGTGTTTATCAATCAATTCTATTGGAACCCAGGTCATCTGAAATCCATATGAATCTGTAGAGAGGTTTTCATATGAACTTCCTGGTGATAGTTTAAATGTGTAATCTCTGACATGTTTTTCCCTCTTTTAATTAGCTTAATTGAAATTGATCTTGATACACCTTGGTTATAGATTTCTGAGTTTCTTTTTTTTTCTCTTTTTTTGGCCATGCCACGCAGCATGAGGGATCTTAGTTCCCCAGCTAGGGGTTGAACCCGTGCCCCCTGCAATGGAGGCGGGGAATCTTAACCACTGGACTGCCAGGGAAGTCCCATGAGACTCTAATCTATCTTTGGAAATTCAACTTGGGTAGCCTGAGACTCAAGTATGAGAGGAAGGTCCGTGGTTCAGAAGAGGAAGCTGTTAACTTGATGAAGTTAAAACTGCATCCAGCCCATGAAAACACATAGATTCTAACATAATTAGAAATCGAGTATTATTCATTGGAATGGGTTTGCACCGCCAAAGTTTCCTTTTTACAGATCTTGCACATATAACCAAGTATTCAGCCACTGAAAATGGGCCAGATGATGGCTAACGTAAATTTGGGACACGTTTCAGAGGCTGAATTCCTTGTGTATTTCCACTCATTTCTAGGATGAAACCACCTCAATGGCAGTTTCTCTCTCTTTTTTTTTTTTTTTTGGGGTACGGGGCCCTCTCACTGTTGTGGCCTCTCCTGTTGCGGAGCACAGGCTCCAGACGTGCAGGCTCAGCGGCCATGGCTCATGGGCCCAGCCGCTCTGCGGCATGTGGGATCTTCCTGGACCGGGGCACGAACCTGTGTCCCCTGCATCGGCAGGCGGACTCTCAACCACTGTGCCACCAGGGAAGCCCTCTTTTTAAAATTATTATTTATTTATTTATTATTTCTTTTTGGCTGCATTGGGTCTTCATTGCTGCATGCAGGCTCTAGGTGCGGGGGCTCAGTAGTTGTGGCACAGGGGCTTAGTTGCTCCATGGCATGTGGGATCTTCCCGGACCAGGGCTTGAACCCGTGTCCCCTGCATTGGCAGGTGGATTCTTAACCACTGCACCACCAGGGAAGTCCTATTTGTAGACTTTTTAATGATGGCCACTCTGCCTGGTGTGAGGTGGTACCTCACTGTAGTTTTGATTTGCATTTCTCTAATAATTAGTGATGTTGAGCATCTTTTCATGTGCCTACTGGCCATCAAGAAAATCTTGAACTTCATTTTGTCGTTTTATATTTCACACCAATATCATATTACTATTCTTAACTTTTTTTTTTGTATTCTAGACAAATCAAATAAATATGTTGATTTCGTTTAGCAGGAAGATTTCGCCATAAAATAAGGTATAATTATAGAAACAAAGAGTTTAAAGAGGAATGCTGTGATGTTAGAATTGAATTGAAAATATCAGTAAGAACTCACACCTTAAAAAAAAAAAAAAAGGTATTTTCCAGCTCTGCTCGCTGAAACAGCCCAGGCTTAACAATACCCAGTATCTCAAATCTGATCTGAACCCCAGATGCCATTTTTGGTCTTGGTCTGTAATGCCATTTTCACTAAAAGGAAGCAGGACTCCATGGAGAAATTGTTGATGTGTGTTTGGCGCAGGAAGGGTACCAGGTTGGCTTGTGTGCCCAGAGGCAAGAAAGCGTTCAGATACCAATGGGACAACATCGGTGGACCTAGCACTCAGCCTAGAGGGTCATTAGCAACGAGAAGATCCACTTGGGATATCTGGTCAAATGCTCTGCTCTTAAGTGACCCCAATTTACTTTTAAGACTCGGATTATTGAAATATTTTTTTAATATTTTAGTTTCATTGGAGTATAGTTGACTTACAATGTTGTGTTAGTTTCAGGTGTTCAGCAAAGTGATTCTGTTATACATATACATATATTCATTCTTTTTTAGATTCTTATCTCATATAGGTTATCTACAGAATACTGAAGCTACAGAATACACAGCTCCCTGTGCTATACAGTAGGTCCTTGTTGGTTATCTATCTTATATATAGTAGTGTGTGTGTGTTCATCCCAAGGTCCTGATTTATCCCTCCC